TGTTCAGGTAAAGCTGGTCTACTCCCACTCCTAGGAAAGCTTTATGGAGAGTTTACAGTTGTACTTCACCCTTGCAGGCATACAGGGTAACATCAAATGCACTCCACCAGGTACGAATGAAAGGCCTCAAGCATAAAACCTAAAGATGCCACAGCAAGCATTAGCAACCTTCGGAGAATTTTGGAATGCAAGCCCAGAGAGCTGATGAGGAGATTCCACTTCAACACCTCATAGCACTGTTTCTCAGATTCCCCATCACACTGTGCATTTCTGTCTCTCTTATTGCATCTTCCCACATGCAGTTTTTTCCAACTCTCTGCAACCATGGAGAGAGGGAATCATGGTGTTTCAATGAAAACTTTTCAAGTTTCAATAACCTCGATTTTGGGCTCATTTAGAAGACCGGAGCAAGAGCTAGGATGGCATCTCTCAAGCATTCACATGCCCATGCAATTCTCAGCGGTTTATTTTTTCTGTTTGAACATACTATTTATCCACGTCAGGCAGCATCTGTGATATACCTGTCCCACTCCTGGTGTTTGACATAGCACAGATCTACTCCCACACAACAAAGCACAAGGAAGCCAATATTTAGTGTCCTCAAAATCAAAATGGCTTAGCCAGAAATGAAACTGAAGATCTCTCCTGATTTTTTTTTTAAAACCTTCATTTGCACAGGTTCTCCTAACCATCGTGTCCCAGAATGTTCACACAAACATTATGAAACATACCTGAAAACCAGTCTACATCCAGGTAAAGCTTCAGCTCAATAATGACATTAGGATGAGCTGTTCTGCAGATGGCACTAATCTTCCTCAGGATGAATACAAGCAGCCCAGGAAGTCACTTCTAATCCCACTTTCACATCTACTAAAAATTAAGTTGTTTTTTGAAATATTTGCAATACTTAGGTGTAGATAATCTTTGTGGGTCATGGCAATAGGACCCCCAGGCAAAGAGATTGTGAAGGGACACCCATGGCCTCCAAAGAGCTGGTTTAGCCTTTTCTCAAGACTCCTCTGCTTCTCAGTCCTTTCAAAGACAGATGGCTTTATTCAGATGCCTTCTGAATAAAGTCACAAATGCAGTGGGAATAAACAATTCCCAGAGGAGCAATATCTGCTAAATCTGACATATTTACAGAAGATTCCAGAATTGTTTGATGGAGAATTCTGATCACTGGCTTGAGATAATACCTATATTTTACTATTCTGTTGCTTTTCCTGACACTGATATAGAGATAAATAACCTCAGAAGGCTTTCCAGTGAACATGGGAATGTAACAGCAGGATTTTTGTTTATCACTTCCATTATTTCTGGATTTTCAGTCCATGAGACAGTCTTGGGAATTTTTGGAGAGCAATTTAATAATTTGCAGCTTCAGATCTCTGAACCAGCCCTGGTTAAGACATGTGCCTTAACTCAAGAATGTCTATTCTAAGCCTCCACCCACACACCTGCCTTACCCCTACTATAGCTGCTTCCTCAACATCCTGGCAGAGTTCAGAGATCCATTCTTTAGTGCAAACAGCTTCCAATGAGCGGGACAGAGTCTTAAAGTAACAGAAACGATGTGTGTTTTTCTGTCGGCATGACTGGGATGTCTGTCTTTCACGAGTCGTGAAGGACACTGAGGCTCGTCCTAGAGATGTATCCATGAACTTACAGCAGGGCCTGGTTTCACAAGCCTGTGTCACACACTGATGTCACAAACAGTTTCTTTTAACACTGAGTAATTACAGCCTTTCGTGCAAATGACATCTTGAAAGCAGAAAAAAAATATTACTCAAACTTAGGAGTAATGGCCTCTTCATTTAATTGGAGTGATGGTCAATGAACCAATTCAGTTTCTAACTGCATTGCTTTGAGAAGCCTGTCAGTCTGATCCTCTTCTGGATTTTCAGTAGGCCAGAACCTACCACTTGTTCAAAAGATATGATTCCTGCTTGCCATGTCAGCTACACATCATCAGCTTTAAAGTAATTTGTTCAAAAGCCAGAATCCCGTGAGTGAAATTCTGAGAAATAAAAATATGGGGTTTTTTATAAATAGA